ACCAATTATGTTTCATAAAAAAAAGAAATAACAAAATTTGTTGAAAAATATAAATTATATTAATTAAGTCGTAAAGCATCATATTCAGGATTTATCAGCTGAATCCAAATTTTTGAATTTTTTTATTTGATTATTGTTATTATAGTTGTTATTAAAAATGAGTAGATCCTCTCCCGAAACCTTCCATGCCATCCCAACCTCTGGCTTATGTCTTGTCTAAAGATGTGTGCATGGCCACTAAGCCTATGAAAACTGTATGTTGAAACTGGGATCTGGCATGTTTTCTCACAGTCTTCGTCACACTCTGCTATATGCCGTATTATCTCACAAGCACAAAGCAAACAGATGGAGCTTAATATGGACTTTGGCGTAAACTGGATTCAGGATTCAGAAATTAACTCAATGGCTCAACAGCGTAGTTCAAACACACATTGTCATGATTGATGCTCTGCTATGGCATGGTATATGCAACTGAAGATTAGTAAGTTAAAACCTTTATGTAAAGGTTCCTTTCACAATGCTTGAATAAACATACTTGAGGGGAACCGGAAAAACAGACAAAAACATTTACCGTCACTGACAGTTATATGATGTATATATGGCTTGTTAGTTGTAACAACAGCAAAAAAGCAAAGGGGTGTGATTTATTCTACAAGTGCCATAAAACAGATATGCAAAAATGGTTGGTTCTTGTGAAAAATTGCTTGTGATGTTCTTCATTTCTAAGCCCTTTCAGAAAACAGTATCCGCTAATTGAATAATAAATGTTACTTATAAATCTGTCACATAATATTGCAAAGCGATTCATACACTAAAAAAAGTGAAATGATTTTGGTTTCCGGTTTAAACCTGTTTCAGTCAGTTTGTCTAAAAAGAAAATAACACTCCCCAATGAAAAAAAAAGAAGAAAATAAACAATTTTGTTTAAATAGTATTTTGCTTGACACCAGAGTTTTGATGTGCAAAACAAATACTGGTTGCTGGTTGAAATTAAGTTATAAAATGCCCCAAAATATTTTGTTATACTGATTATATTATTATACTCATCTAGATTAACATTTGACCTATGTCTAAAGAAAATATATTGGTCTTTACAATAATCTTTTTACTTTGTATCAATGTTTGTATAAGTATTAATCGAACCAAACCATATATATAATCTGAAAAAAAAAAACACTAAAATTGTTCAAATAATATATATTCTATTGATGAAGAATTTACTTGATCAAAAATATAGTTAAAAGAGTAGGCTAATGTTGCAAATTATTTTCAAATGTAAATGACAGTTTTACTTGTGATGGCAAAACCCTATTTTCAGGATCCGTTAGGCTTTACTTTAATCGTATGTTACATAATACTTAAGAAATCATGTTAATGCTGATTTGAAACCTTAATACTGCTGATTAGAAGAGTAGGAAATGGCAGAACACAATCATATTTGTCTAGAAATTCTGAGAAATAAAGACTATATTTTATGAACTACTGTCTTGAAGGAAGAAAGTAAAGTGGGTCTAATCAGGAGAGAGGGAGAGAGAAAGAGTGAGAGAGAGAGAGAAAGAGAGAGACAACAAGATGATAAATACATTTGAGTATCTGTAAACTAAGGATTCTTCATAACAACCTATGCATGTGTGCAGCTTTAAGCAAGTAAGCAGACATCTGTGTTATAATTATTTTATTGTGTTTATTTATTCCTTTTAATATACTTAATAAAATATATTAAAGATATTTATTATTATATTATTTTTGCTGTTTATTCTTATGTTGTGTGCTGTTTTGTCTTCACGGTGAAGCTACAGATACAAGCATGTCCCTGTCTAGGTTTTTAATGTTACAGAACAACGTTGTGAAGCAGTAATTTTCCACTGTCTTCGATTGGTAACAATTCTGCTTCAAATTTGGGTTGCTCAGATGAAGTCATACCGAACTTTGAGAAAGATTATTCAATTCAGACAGTTCATGCTCACCATGACTTCAAACCACCAGGTGGATCTAAAAATAGAAACAGACATCTGTAACATTTGCTGTAGTTTATGATCAATTTAATGATAAAAATATCAACTTCATCCACAAAAATAATTTTATAGTTACCTGACTGATACTTTGTAGAGTAATGCATATAAATATATAATAATTCTCTCCTTTACACTGTTTGTGTTCTAGCTACATCATCTGCATGAGTATTTAATTTGTGAAATTTAATTAGACTTGATCAGGTTAATAGATCTAGAGTTTAATATGCAAATATATTTAAAAATCGGTGATCTGTATACTATTGGCTAAGCTTTGTTTTTATGATGAGAACTAAACCACTGTTATATGGCCGTTTTTGCACTAATCAAGCTTTCAAATAGTCAGGATGTCACAATAAACTGCATATATTTATAAAAACAATTACAACATGATATAAAGAGAATGCATTGATACATAATTTGTGTAATTAATTCAATACAAATTAATAAATACAATGAGACTTTTCTTCCCCAGATGGGTCAGATATGGACAATCCCAAGAGTGTGTATTTTAACCTAGTGTGTATTTTATTACAGGAATACTGGCTTATTTTTACCTCATTCGTGGATTAATATTGCCAGATTAATTTAAAATACATTACACAACAACTGTGTTTACACGATACAGTGTTTATTGCTATTACTATACTATTTTGGATGAATACAGTTTTAAATACAGCATGTTTTATACAGTTTTTATTGATTACCTACATTTAAACTCATTTAACGAACATTTTTTTGGGGAAAAAAAAACATTTAATATTTAAAAGTAACATTCAGTGTAATCCCTGTTATCCCTTTTCCATTGAAATAGTGCTGGTTCTTGTGCTGGTATGTTGCTGAAATCTGAGCTGGTGTTCAGCAGAGGAACTATGAACTTCAGACCACTGCCCCGTGTTTCTGAGAGCCGAGGATTTCTGAGAACAAAGTAAAGAAATTATAGATTAAATAAAACCTATACAAACATGAATGCACCAGTTTGGCATCGCTGAGATGAGGTAAATGCAACGTTACTTGACATATTGTTTAAAAGCAGTTTTATTGACGTCTTTCTGCGGTTGAAAACACTGACTGAGGGATAACATGAGACATAACATTAGCTTTATTTAACTGATTTAAAATGATGAATAGTGTTTGTTTTTTTTACAAACTGTAATAGAAAAGGACCCTCTCCAACGTATTACAACAAAGTTGTAAACAGAATTCTCTAGAATCTCATTGTTGTCACAGAATGTCACAGAAGACATTATCAACTACGACACTGATATTATACTTCGGATCAATTTCTTGCACAAGCACATAAGTGAGGTTTCCTTTAAAAGGGTAATATATTGCATCAAATGTAATGTAATGTAGGTCGCGAAAGCCATTGCAGATACCTGAAACAACATGCACAGATCATTTTCAGTGCAACAATACATTGTGAGACAGTAACTGATTCATTAAATAGAACATCAAATATCCATCTTAACTCACATTGG